CAGTTGGCTACTAACCAAAAGCTTGGCAATTGGAAACCACCGGCTGCTACTTGGTGGAAGGTGAGGCTTTCTACTCCTGTAAATACTTACCGTCTCAGGAACATCTAGGGGCAGTTAAACTCTGTCCTAAAGGGCCACTCAGCATATATAAAGCTGAAAGAACCGAAGAAAAAATTCAAAGCCTCAAGTTGCAATATTAAAAGATTCTAAGGGCAAAATATTAAACGATGTAGGAAGCACCAAAAGGTGATGGAAAGAATACACAGAGTCACTCTATCAGAAAGACCTCGTCAACATTCAGCCACTTCAAGAGACAGCATATGGTCAAGAACTGAAGGAAGAAGTCTGCGTGGCACTGAAAGCACTTAGGAAAAGCAAGTTTCCAGGAATTGACAAAATATCAACAGAAATGCTTCCACATGCCGATGAAGCACTGGAAGCATCACGAGTTTATGCCAAGAAATTTGGAAGATGGCTACCTGGCCGACTGATGGGAAGAGATCAGTATTTGTACCCAGTCCGCAGAAAGATGACCACACAGAATGTGGGAATTATCAAACAATAGCATTAATATCATATGTGAGTCAACTTGTAGGGAAGGTCACTCAACAGAGCTTGCAGCCATTGTCGATGTCAGTGGCTCATAACCCACTGTGGACAGCAGTGAGAGGAACGGGAGTCCAGAACAGAGCACTTCACGTGCTCATACGGAACCTGTGCATGCATCAAGAAGCAGCTATTAAAAAGACAAACCAAAAAACCCTAGGGAATAGTGCATGGTTTAAAATCAAGAAAGGCGTGTGTCAGTGTTGTATCCTTTCAGCATACTTATTCAATCTACATGCTGAGAAAATGATCCAAGATGTACTACATGAAGAATGCAGCATCAGGATTGGAGGAAGGCTTATTAATAATATTCTATATGCAGATGACACAGCTCTGCCTGACGAGGGCTTTAATCCCTTGCAGTCAGTATGGATTACATCTCAATGTAAAGAAAACCAAAATTCCTACAACGAGAGCGAAAGGTAACGTCACGAAAACAAGAGAAATACGTGGAAATTGTCAAGGATTTTGCCTTTGACCTACAATCGATGCTCATGGAAACAGAAGTCAAGAGATCATCTGAATCATTGCATTGAGTCAGTCCGCTGCACAAGATCTCTTTGAAGTGCTGACGCACAAGGATGTTACTTTGAGATCTAGGGGGTGCCTGACCGAGGCTGGGGTGTGTTCAGTCATCCCATCTGCATGTCAGAAGGCCTGGTGGTGCAGTGGTTTCAGGTTGGGCTGCCATCCTCATGGTTGGCAGTGTGAAGACACGAGTAGCTCCCCTCTGTCCTTTCACCTGGCTTGGCCACTTTGAATCCTCGCTGCTTTGGCTGGGAAGATGCTCCCAGAACCCAAAGGAGGCCATCTTTCTCCAAAGACATTTGGCGCTCCTCTAGGCAGCCCCTTGGGGGTAGGGCCTCACTGGGGGCAGTAGTGATCTCTCCCACGGTGGCCGTGCCTGCTGGGGGGTCCTTGACGTTCTCTCTCACACCAGCCTTCTGCATTGGTTGGGCCCCTTGCAGCCAGGCTCCTCGACACCTTTCTCCTTTGGGCAGCGCCCATTTGATCTCATCCAGAAAACCTTTCCTGACCAACCCTCGTACATGGGACCGTGTTTTGCACGTGGTTATTCTGTGTGCCAACAGTGCTGCTTTATGTCTGCTCTGTGGGCCCCAGGTGGACAGGGCCTTGGTAGAGACGGCTGTTAAAAAATGACGGTTGACCAAGTTCACTTTCACAAAAGGTGTTGAAAGTGTCTGATGTCAGCAGAGCCAAGCTGAAAGGACTCCCCCAAAGACACCGGTGCTTGCCTCCATTACTAAGAGGCAGACAACAGGATCCTAGTGGGAACAACCATGTTGGAGGGAAAGGGGCACCGTATCTATGGGTCAAGTAGAACCAGGTCTTCTTAAACCCCTTCCGCTTCACAGAATTTCCGAAACCACCAATGAGCTGGCAGTAGGTGATGTGGCTGAAAATCCTATCGCAGGCCAACCTCCGTCAGACATGACAGGAACGGCTATGGATGCAGAATCGCCCACATCACCATCTTCTGCCTCTTTATTGGGATGACCAGCCAATCCCACAGAGGCTCTGGTCGGGACCATTTAGGAACGAATGACCTAAACAACTGTTGGTGGAGTTTTAGAAAATCATGAGCAGTCAAGGGATAAAGAATAATGTGTTGCAGAGAACATCTGGGCATCGTTAGCCGGCAGAGGAAAGAAACGGACGCCCTGCAGAGGCCAACGTGGACCCGAGAGCACACATTCTGGAAGAGACCGGAACGCCAGGAAGGGGCAGGAAGGAATCGTCGTTTGACTGAAGCACATGCAAGGCATTTACAGACAAGACTGATATTGTTACACAATGTCATCAGAGAAGCATCAAGGTCAAACAACAATGCTAACGGAACAACTGGAGAACGATTTGGGCAAACGTCACCGACGAGCCAATCGGATCAACCACATGAACAGCAATCGAGAAAACAGAATGCGGGCCCTTGGTCACTCTCTTCTCCAGACCAAGTCGGTACAAAACGGCTGTGATGCCACGTTCCTTTTTGACATGCATCGTTGGTATTCGCAACACAAAAAAGCAAGTCTGCAGATCCTTGCCCAGGGTTGTACGGTGACCTCTTCTTCATTTTTTTTAAATGTGAAAAATATCACTAAAACGTTTTTTGTCCATTTTTTAAACTCAACATGATCCTTTATTTTGCTTTCCATTGATTCATGCACATCCAGTTTCCCTCAAGTCCCTCAATTAAGGTTGGACATTGCCAAAAAAGAACAAAAGGAGCCGCTTTGCCATTTTTTTTTGGTGGGAGATAAAAGCGCATGTTTTAAAACAAGGTGATATGTTGTAGGTAGTTATTTGCAAGTTGCGTACATGTATCTTGAAGAATATTGAAGAAAAGCACTTTTGTTATTCCATCAATAAATGCTCTATTAAAAAGAAGAAGCGCTAAGCATAGGCTCTGCCGACACAGCTGGCCACGCAAGTGGCTGGGCACAGGCACTGAGCATCTCTCCGAGTTGCTTGCTCATGGGCTGGACAGGAGGGAGCAAGGGGACCGTTGGACTGGTAGAAATGCCTGCCACAGGAAAGGGCGAGAAGGACCAGACCATCCCAGTGCCCTCGACCTTGGGGGCAACCTAAAGGCATGAAGCGGGGAACTAACCGAGAGGTCTGCGGGCTGGCTCCAAGCTCAGCTGCGTCGACCCCTCCCCAGAAGAATGCACCACAGAGGACAGCACTGAAGATCCAGCCCGGGGAGAGTGGCGGGTCTGCCCAGACCACACGGGAGCAAACTAGGAGGGAAAGAGGCAGTGGACGGCATCATGGCCCACCAAGCTCTGAGGATGACACTTCTGCTCAGAACAGCCAAGGCACAGAGAGGACCGTAGGGCTGGTCCCACCCTGAGACACGATTCACAGTGTTTCAGGGGACAGCACTGGACAGTGTGGGAATTATGCTTGGTCTGACCCCTGCCACACACCCCCGCCCCCGCCGCCCCCCGCTGGGGTGGTGAAACACGAAGAGAGTGCACCACAGGGCAGCGAGGTGGCATGATTCAGGTTGCCTACTAGCCCTTGGACGGGGCCAGACAAATGATCACTCCACTTTGTGCACCATGACGCTAAACTGGGGTGGGAAAGGGAGTGAGTGCTGTTTGGCCAGGGTCCCCTGAGTGGTCCAGCTTTAGCCGATTCTCACCTGGACAGGTGAACAGACGGACGCCAAAAGAGAAGAAACACACACACACACACACACACACACACACACACGAACTTTTCTCAAGTTTTATTGTAAAATCTTCAGAAAAAGAGCATTTACAATGACAATGTGATAGTTTGTGAGTCGTCTTTATATCAAGTGTTACTGCAAATACACCGTGTGTTCAATACCGTGTAATACGTCAAAGTAAACACAAACGTATTTCAAATGCCACGTACGGTTACTGTGTTGGTACAAATCCCTACTAAAGTTGATGTATTAAAAATAATTTATATATATTTTATAAATAAGGAAAAATCCACATGTATCATAATTACAGGAGGCCTTTTGAGAAATACTGGTGATTACAGAAAATATATTCTGGAGTCTACGCAACTGCTTAAAATAACATGACCTGCCTTGACATGAGAGATCGGAAGGGTTTTGGCAGCGGGGAATAATGAGACTCTTCACAGGACTGAAGGACGGGGGTGTGTGGCTTTGCGCACTGAGGCTCATTCAGCTACAGGACAGCGGCGTGGGACCACCCCAGCTAAACTCCGTGCCCCCGCACCATGTGTGCACAGCCGCCAGCAAGCACAAGCACCTGGGGGCAAGGCGGTGTAGCAGGGCCAGGTCAGGGGGCTGAGCAGCCAAAGGGGACCTGTCTTTTCTGACCTCGCTGAAGTAGCTCAAGCGGCAAGGGGGCCAACTGCTCTTAGAATGATGGCGGCTGGCTGGCTGGGCAGTGGAGGACAGACCCCTGCGATCGCCCCTGCTAGAAGCGCTTCCCTTCAAAGGGCAACATTCTCTGACCCCACCGTGGCGCCTTGAGGGGAGCGTGGACCAGGGGCTCTCAGCAGTTGCCGCTTTTTAGAACATAGACCAAGCCCTCCAGATTTGGAGTGGACCATGTGCTGGGGGAGCACGTGGGAAAGGGATGGGTGAGTTTAGAGAGAGAGGTGTCTGAATTGTGACCTTGTTAAGAAACAAGAAACAAAGACTATACAAGAGGCACACCCCGTGCTGGTTCCGGAAGCCAAGCCCTGCTGTCCTGATGTGGTACTCTCTCACGTGGCCTTTGGTGACATTCAGCCTCCGCGTTGCTTCTCACAGCTCCGGTGGAGGACGTGCGTGCATGAGACCTTGACTGCTGGCCTCAAGCACCTGGCAGGTGGCTCGTGCCCAAAGCCTTCAGGCCCAGATAGGATGCTCAGATCCTCATGTGACTTTGGCAGGTCGTCTGGCCTGGACAAAAGCAGGACGTGAGCGGCGTTCACTGGCTGCTTGGGGGTCTGGCCCTGAGAGTCGGCATGCCCTCCTCCCCCGTACTCTTGTAAGTGTCTCTGTCCCACAAATTCAAAGAGAAACCAAGGCAACTAATGACTCTCTCGAACAAAATCGCTTTGCCCACCAGCTGGGCAAATGGAGCAGCTGGCTTCAGGAGTGACCTCGCTGGCACACCAAAGCAAGAAAGGAGTGTGGGCACAGGCTGCCGGGCATCTGGTGTCCCCGCAGTCGTTAGGTGCCCTTCTCATGGGAGCTGTGAGTGGCTCCCTCCCCACCCCACCCCAGAGCAGCAGGCCTAAGGCATAGCAAGATTGCGAGGAGGGAGAGAAAGGGAATGGGGGGATGGCGGGGAGCTCGGGTCTGGTAAGTTTTGAGGCTCGGGGAAGATGTCACAGCTCACCTTTTCTGCCTGATGGTCCCTGCCTGACAGTATCTGACCTCACTCCCCAGGGAGTTGTGCAATTGCTCTGGTTTGGAGCAGAGGTTTGGGGGGTGGGGTGAGTGGCCAGCAAGGGGCTGTGTTCCAGTGGGCTCTGACTGCAGGTAGAGTGGGAGCTGGGGCTGGTGAGGGAGGTGTCCACAAAGACGCCCACAGCCATCAGTCTACATTACTTGCCTGGCCACCTGGCAGGGGAGTGGTGCTCTGGGCGCAGAGGGGGTGCGGGGGGGCAGGAGAGAGGATGTGAGGTAGATAGGTGGATGCAGAGGATGGAGGGGGTGGGAGGGGGGCTTCTGAGGCGGACGGGGAAGGGAGGGGTGAGTGAGAAGGGTGTGAGGTTTGCCAGTGATGATGAGCCGGGCCCAGGGGCCTGGAGTGAAACACACTGTGAAACATGAAGCCTCTTGTAGAAAAATAGATCCGGAAAGAATCTGCTCCACATCTGTCTGGAAATCACCTTCAGTTCACAGGTTACTGGTCAACAGAAAACAGGAAGTTGTGGCCGCACAAAGCCCCAACTTTGGGGGCTTCCTAGATGACGGGGCCAACAATTCTCCAGGTCACCAGGTAAGTCACGGCTTTATTCAGGGGTTGAAAGCCTTCTTCTGGGGTCCCTGTGGGGGGCTGGGAACCCTGTTCCGCAGGGTGAGGGTGGGAGCAGGCCGGGCTGGCGGTGGGAATGGGAGGGTCTGACCTCTTCTCTCTGGTAATGTCACCTCTAGCCCTCAGGGTCTGAGGTTTGGGATTACGGTTGGTCCCGGCCAAGGCTTGAAGGGCTCTTGCAGCTACTTCACCAGATCACTTCTTGTCACTGGGTGCTTGCAAGTCGCAGTGACCCTGTGGATGACAGACAAACACTGTCTGGTCCTGCACCACCCTCGCAGTCATTCTAAGTCTCGATCCATCTCCTTGAGGGTCATCTTCTTCTGTGGATGTTCTACTTTCATCAGGTATGATGGTCTTTAGGGGCTGTCCCTCTAGAAAACGTGCTGAGTATGTGAGATGAAGCCTTGACATCCCTGCGTGCAAGGAGCATGCTGGCTGCATTTCTTCCAAGGCAGATTTCGTCATTTTTCTCATAGTCCAGGGTAATCTTCAACCTTCTTAGTCATAATTCAAATGCATCAGTCCGTCTTCTGCCTTCTTGATTAGTGGTTCAGCGTTCACATGCCTATGTAGCGAATGGAGCTACTAAGGCTTGGGACAAGTGCACCCAGTTCTCAGAGCGACGTTTGCTTGTCTTTTTCGCATTTGAAAAAGAGAGGTCTTCATCGCAGATTCGCTCGGTGCAGTACGTGATGTGATCTCGTGGCTGCCGCCTCCATGGGCAGCGATTGGGGATCTGAGTACAACGATGCTCTGGGCCACCTCCAACGTCTCTCCATTTATTGTCTTCTGTCCATCGGTCTAGTTATAAGGACTTTTCCCCCCCCATATTGAGTTGCAATCAATACCAAAGGTGGCAGTCCTTAATTCTCCACCAATGCTTCAAGTCCTCCTACCTTCCATCGAGCAAGGCCATGCCATCTGTGTATCATAGGTTGTTAACGAGCCTTCTCCTTCAGTCTTGATGTTGTGTCCTTCAAAAGTCTATTCTCTCAGATAATTTGCTCAGTATACAAATCGAATATGGATGGTTAGAGGTTACCATCCTGTCACACATTTCCTGATTTTGAAACCACTTAGGATCCCGTTCTGCCAGAGCGACTGCCTCCTGGTCTGTGTAGCGGTGCCACAGAAGCACAAACAATTCCCATTCCCATGTTCGGGAATTCCTGTAATGTCATACATAATTTTTAATGAGCCAGAGTTTAAGACCTTTGCACAGTGCATAAGACTCAGGTAAACAACTTTTCTCAAAGGCGTTCTCTGCTTTCAGCCCCAGTTCATTTGACATCAGCAGTGACAGTCCCTGTTCCACATCCTCTTCTGAAGCTGGCTTGGATTTCGGGCAGTTGGCTTGGGCACATGCGAAAGAAGCCTGGGCCAGCCCGTGCAGCTGTTGGCTGGTGTGGCGGCTCACGCTGGGTCTCAGCCTGCTGTGTAGAGCGCTCACGCCATCGTCTATTTTGATGCGTTTGAGGCAAGGCCTGTGACAGTGTGTCTAACAGGGTAGAACATGGGCCCATCCTTGCCATCCTCAACCGCTGGCACAGTTGAGCCTACCGCGGTCACCACCTGGATCACCCGGGAGCAGACAAACCACTCCCCTGCATGGCGAGGCAGGCTTTTGGCTCCAGAACCTGTTAGTATGGGTTCTGCCCAGTTGGGCAGGAGACGATGGGTCTTAATCTCAACCCTTTAATGTCACTTCGGGTGCTTTGTGTGTTTGCTATTCTGGGAAGACGACGAGACGACAACAAAACGATGTTGCATTTTTGTGAAATTTAAAGTGATTGAGGGAGTTCGTGATGTAAGTGGCTTTTGGGTGATTGTTTTGGTAAAGCAAATGTGTCTTTAAAATGCACAACATCAGTTGCTCATGAGAAGGAGCCCCCGCCGGGTTGGCTTCATGGTGTACCAGCGATCCTGAAACTGTGCTCCAGCGGCCTTTGCTGGAGCGGGGGTGTGGAAGGAGGGGCAGGGAGCACTGGGGCCAGCCTTTCCCACCAAACCCCAAGTCTGTGTGTCCAGCATGCTGGCAGCAAGGTGGATGCGTCTGCCTCTGTACCTGCACAGTGAGGGCAAAGAGGCATGCCATCCCGATAAACCTGAACGTGGATGCAGAGTGGAAAGGGGACAGATGCGGCAGAGGCCCTGCCTGGGCGGCCCAGGTTCACGAGGGAGTTGGGTTCTGGGCCAATTGTGTTTGGAATTTGGCGACCCACATGGGCTGGTGTTCTGGTCTGGTCGTCTGTGGGCCTCTTCTGTTAGGCCCAGAGACTCTCTTGCTGCCAGGCCGGCCAGTTTAGAAGATGTCACCCAAGGGAGAAACTCATGAGAGTTGGAGGGTTTCAGTGGTAGAAGCGTGGCCTTGGGGTCCATAGGGCAAGTCACCGAGGCGGGGTCCAGAGGGTTCTCCCTCCTGCCCCCACGGTCTCAAGGACAGGCTTCTGAGGTCGGTTAGCTCCATGCATATCTGTCCACCAACATCACCCGCTAGCAAATCCCGACACAAACGTGCCCAGGTCACCTGGGATCCGTGTTGGTGGAACTACCTGCTCTCAGGACCTTGGGAGAGGGTGAGGCGGTGGGGTGTCAGGGGAAGAAGAGGAGCAGTGTGTCACACTGTCGTGCACAGACTGTGCATGTGTGGTAGGATTCTGCACACCATTCAACCCCCCTCCCACCAGAGTGGGTTTCCGGGACATGCTACCTCTGTGCGCAGGATTTACGTGGGGGTGTGGCAGAAGACAGGCATGGCATTGAAAGAGAAGCAGAGCCGATGCCCCGACAAGTGTCCTTTCTCAGCAGCAGGGAGGACCGTGGCCCTGTAGGCAGGCCCGGGTGGCTAAATCAAGTGTCTGGAAGGTAATCATCTCTCCCAAGCAGCTGCAGGGTGTTGAAGTGATCACTGCCGCTGTGGAAGCATTTGTTTCAGCCTAGGATGTGAGCCCCCGGGGAGGATGTCTTCTGGAGGTGTGTGGGCCTCCCCGAGGAGCATCTCTTTGCAGGGTGGCCCAGCAGCACGTGGCTGCCTGTGGGGGGGCTGGAGCGTTCATGCCCAGGGCCAGCCTGCCTCCTGACTGTGTCGCGGAGTGGGTGTCTGTGAGGAGAGTGAGGCCGCGTGTGAGGACACGTGTGAGGACTCACGCAGGACGGTGTGGCCTGTGGGCGCTGGAGGCGCGGGTGTGAGGGCCAGGCCACGGGCAGAACAGAAACTGGTTTGCATCAGGGCTGGCCGGCAAAGGACATTTGTAACCTTGGGGTTGTTATGGGGTCACTGCCCCCCACGGCTGCTCACCTCACGTCAGGCAAGCTCAGGCTCCCCTGAATCCAGAGGGTGCCCCCTTGATGGGTGAGAAGCAGGAACAAACACCAGGTCTGTCCTGGTCTCCCGGACCCCACCATGTGGAGTCTGCGTTACCAACTTGGTGGGCGACTCTGCAGACCGCGGGTCTCAGGTGACGGTGATTATAACCAGGAGAGAGTTTTTCTGGCTGCAGAAAGTGGGCTGGCATTGAGACACCCAGAGATACGGCCTAAGGCAGGGAGGAAGGAATTGGACCTTGGAGAGGGTCGCTCTACGGACTAACATCTGAGATTATAAAAAACTAGTTTTGGATCAAAAATTTCCAAAATAAAGTGAGTGATCTCCCCAGCCCCCAAGATGCAACAAGTCACGTGGGCACTCCCTCAGGCTGATCGCAAGTCAAATGCAAAGCAAGCAAGCAGCAGCTGTGAAGGCAAAGGGCGGGGCCGCCGCGAGGGCAGATGGAGCTCTGGCGAGCCCTGCCTGTGCCCAGTGCCCCTTGTTCCCTGGCCAGCTCTGGGCCCTTCCCCCAGAGTGAGGAGGTCTGGCTGGATCTGGAGGCAAGGGACGATGATTACGTGAAGGCAACCGACAGAAGCACCCGCCGGGAAAGCGGACGGGCTGGTCGCCAGGTGCACATAGCTCGGCACAGCAGCCCCAGGTCGCATGGCGGGTAGCATGTGTTCTCGTCGCAGCTGAAGGCAGAAATCATACTTCCCAACAGAAAAACCCCCATCTGGTCAGCAGCGCATACCTTAAACGAGGGGACTTGCAAGGAGACCAGTGGTGAACCACGAAGCAGATGCAGGCCTTTGCTTTTGTCTGTAAAAATGTACAGTGTGCCTGCTTGGGGCTGTGGTCTCAGCTCCCTCATACCTCGCCCACCCACACCACCGTGGTCCCCCTCTTAATGCCCGACACCTCACACTGCAGGGCGTTCTGCCGCCCATTGATGAGAAAGAGCGACTCCTGGGCCGGGGTCAGGAGGTACTGTCCAAAGAGGCCGCTGTCCCTCAGGACCCTGAGGGGCTCTGCCCAGGGCCAGGCTGGCCCCTCTGGCGGGGCCTTCAGGTCCGTCAGCAGGCCGGTCTTGCCAGTGGACAGCTCTAGGAAGAGCAGGCTGGGCTCCGTCTCCAGGGTGGCATAGACGGAGTACTGGTTGCCCTCAGTGAAGGAGCGCTGGAAGGCCAGGCCCGAGATGCCCTGGGGGACCCTCAGGCCATAGAGGGGCTGGATCTCCCCCCACCGCGAGATCTCCTGCACGTGCAGCTGGGGGCTGTTGGCGGCAGCACTGACCACGAAGCGTCCGTCGGGTGAGGTGTGCGGGATGCCTGCGATGTCCCCGTTGGGGCCCACCACGGAGTCGGTGACGCTGTCTACCAGCAGCTGGGGGGCGGCAGGGGTGGCGTGGCTCTGCTGGCACTGGATGAAGAAGTAGCCACCCAGGTGCGTGTGGGCCATGGCCTGTGGCAGGCAGCCGTGGCTCTGCAGGCTGATGGATTTGAGGAGCATCAGCGTCTCCAGGTCTACCTTGTGGATGGCGGGGGCGGACTTGTTGAAGATGAAGCCGAACCTGGGGGTAAGGGTGGGGGTGGGGTGATAACTGTGGTCAGAGGTTTGGAGGCCACCTCTTTGAAAGTTCTAGTTGCCCTGCTTTGTAATCCCCCTCTGCTATAACTCTGTTGGCCGGACCGTCAGCCCTCTGCCAGTTGGCAACCCGGTGGTGGCTTGTGTGCTATGGTGCTGGAAGCTGGGCTACTACTGTTTCAAAGGCCCAGAGTGGGCAGATTACAGGAAAGCTGTCAGATACAGACAGACTAGGAAGAAAGGCCTGGTAATTCACTTCCAAACCCCTATAGATCACAACAGAATATTGCCTAGTGTAGGGTCCTGGGGCCCTGGGTGGTGCCGATGGTTAGGTGTGCGGCTGCCTGCAGAAAGGGGGCTAGTTAGTGCAGACTCACTCAGTGGTGCCTTAGGAGGAAAGGTCACAGCCTTCAGAACAGTTCTTCTCTGCAGCAAGAACCCACTCGGCAGTACCTCGTAAAGCGCTGGCAGATGAGCCTGCTGGGTGGCTGTAAGGGTCTCAGAACACACTGTGTGACCTCACCAGTGGCTCCTGCATGCTGCCAGTCACGAAGCTCCTTCAGCACTGCATGGTTTCCCGTGGGGCTGCCATGAGCTGGAGCCCAGGCCACCAGGAGCACTGACAGGGCTGTAGTTCACTTGGGATCCCGAGCCCAGTGCCCTCCTGTTACCAATGTTCTCAGAGTGCTTGGTAAAGTGGAGGGAGGGGCAGTGAAAAGGAGCAAGGCCCTGGACAAGATGGATGGACACAGAGGCGGCCACCATGGGCTCAAACCTCAGGACCATGGTGAGGATGGCGCAGGACAGGGTGCTGTTTCGTTCTGTTGCAGATAGGGTCGCTGTGAGTCGGGAGCGACTTGAGGGAGCTTAACAAGCACAAGCACACATTCATCTTTGGAATGATGGAGGAGGAGGGGGAAGGGTCTCCCTGTGGGCGCGGTGAGCCTGTGCCTAGAGGGTGGGCAGGGAAGGCACAAAGGCGCTGCCCTGATGTGCGCTGTCCCCGTAAGACAAGGAATCCTGCTTCTTCGCTGTTTTCCTGGAAATAATTTCTGAGCTGCTCATCAGTGAGGTCTCTTCACCTGCCTGTGTACAGATGTCCTACCAGAGCCTCTCTCCTGGGAGAGGAGGTTGCAGGGGACAAAGGGACAGCCTCGGGCCACAGCTATGCTGGCTGAGGAATTTTGGACAGTCAGGGCAGGGGCATCATCTACCTGGGAGCAGATGGCCTGGTGCAGTCTCGCTGCTGGGAGAGCTGCAGAGCCTGGGGAGAGCGGCTTGCCTCTCTGTGACTTAGAGAAGCACAGTTCCTGCCTAGGACTGCTGGGAGGATTAGGTGGAAGAGGGGTGTTTTGTGTAAGAGCTCGGAAGGGGGGTAGCCGCTCACAGTAGGACCTTCTGAAGTTCTCCTTTAGAGGTTGGCAGCCAGCTGTGAAGAAGTCTGACTGTAGGCAGGACTTCCTTTGATCTGGCGAGCCTCGGCCTCAGTTCCCTGCTAGGAGGCCCTTTGGCATTCTATCTGGTTACAGGAAAGTAGACAAATCTCTTCCATGATTTTCTCTCCAACACCTGCACCTCAGCAGGTGGGAGAGGCTCCTTTGCTCAGGCACTCTGTACAGGGGCGGGTGTGGGAGGGGCAGGCAGAAAATGCCGCTTTTATGGGGAACGTAGATGGAAAGCCATACACTGGAGTCTCAGAGCAGCTGCTCCTGCATCTGCGGCCCCCTCCCCAAGCTGAATTCAGTTTTGGTAGGTGGGGGACTTGGGGGGCTCTTATAGGCTCTTCTCCAGCACCCTCTGCAGTGAGGGAGTTCAGTGGTGGCGAGTGTCTTTCTGCCTGGGGGCAAGGGGAAGTGGGTGAGTGCTATTTTAAGAAGTCCAGCTGTCAGTTTGCAAAGAGTGAGCCATGGCTTTGCGGAGTGAGGTGCCTGACAGGGAATTAAGGCATACATTTCTAGGGTCACAGGTCACCTGGGGTCTTGGTCACTGAGTGGGCAGGGTTAGCCTTCTCTGTGTCAGAAAGGGATGGGGTTTGCTGTCAGGCCACTGAGGATTACCAGCCTATTAGGCGGGGCTGGCAGACCATGGCACCCACGTGAGTGGCGCGGGCCTGTAAAAGAGGCAGGGCTTTGCATTCGGTCTGGCTCTGCAGTCTCCTGGCAGTGTGACCTGGGCCAAGGAGCCCTGCGCGTAGTGGTTATGCATTGGGCTAAGTACCCACAAGGTCAGCAGTCAGAACACATCAGCTGCTCCGTGGGAGAAAGAGGAGACTTTCTCTTCCTGTAAGCGTTAGGTCTCGGCAACCCACAGGGGCGGCGCTCCCTGTCCTACACGCTGAGTCCAGAGTGACCTCAGTGAGTGTGTCTGAGGCTCAGTTTACCCATCTCTAGAATCGGAGTCAGACCCTGCAGCAGGGTTTTGTCTCTAGCAAGCAGAGGGTGTGGCTTCCATTCCTCCCACCTTGGGGATGAGCCTTCCCAGTCCCCTGGGGTCCCCAAGGCACCCCTGAATTCAGCAGAACCCTTGAGCCTAAGGAATGAGCCCTAAGCCCCGAGTCCTTACCAGGGATTGGTCCATTTCCCCATCCCTCCTCCAGGGGACCAAAGCCAGCGCGGGAGGGGTGGCAGCCCAGGTAGAAGGATTTCCTGCAGGCACTGCCTTCCGCTGGCCTCACCTGATGTGGTTGATGATGAGGTTGGTTGGGGGGATGAAGAAGTCGTCCACCCCGGCAAAGGGCGTGTGGATGAGGTGCTGGCCCTGGCCGGTGCTGGCTTCCGTGATCACCTGCAACACAGAGCGGAGTCCCTGTGAGGGCCTGGCCAGGGGAACGCTGGAACCAGGGCCGCCCAAGGGCAGGCCACAGTCTGGGGAGCACCAAGCAGGGCCCCACCTCCTGGTGGAGATGTGAGGGCGATGGTGGAGCCCCACGGAATGAGTGCTGGGCTCCGTCTGCCCAGCCAGGCTTGAGGCTCAGTGTGTCATCTGTAGTGAAGGGATGCATTCAGATGATCGCTGGGGAAATAGCTTGTTAATAAAATACAAGGCGGGGCTGGCTTCCCCTAGTGAGACTTGCTGTGTAAAGGACTAGGCCCCCCGTGTTGCCCAAATTGGGAGTGGCAGAGCAGGGCTGCCCCTCTTTCCTGGAGGGAAGCACCTCCTCTGGGGACTGGCCCACGGGGCAGGGGCAGGGCAGCCTGGCAGCTCAGCACAGAGCTTGTTGGGTGTGAGGTTGGGATCGGTGTGGTCTGGACAGCCAGTCATAATGCTCTTGTGGGCAGGTGGCCTCCCTCCATCAGGGACTGACACTGTGTCAGTCTTGTGCTCATCGACCTCCACATTCTAGGCAGACCTGCTGCCAGGGGGACAGGCTTGACCCGCTTCAGTGTGATTTTGGCTGAAAGGACAATTGGAGTTCTGGGTGGGAGAGGAGACCCATGGGCAGGGAGGGGAGGGATTCCTTGCAATTGCTCACTGAGGCAGAATTGTGGCAGTGCAAGAGGGGGACCTGGGCTCTTGCTGGCTGAGGCTGGCCTGCAGGATGGGGCAGCGGGGTGGTGGTTTGTGACTCATAGGCTGGGTGCTCTGCAAGCAGCACCTGCCTCCCGGCGTTGCCTTTCCTGACCAAACAGCACCCGGCCTGCCTCCTTCCCTCCAAAGCTCGGAGGGGAGAAGGCTGGGTTGCAGTGGAAGTGGCTGCTGTTTTCAACTCTCAAGTTCTCAGATTTCCTTACGTGATTTTCCTGTGGTTTTGTAAAACGGCCGAACGACACTTCCACTGCAAGCCCCTTCCTGGGGACAACCACAGGGTCTGCACAAAACTGAGTGGTAAGCAAAGGTGATGGGTAGGGCAGTGGGCCTGAGAGGGGCCAGGGGGAAAGGCCAGAGAATTCCCAGATGCCACATGACGGTTGGCTGCTATCGGGCTTGTCACCTCAGCCTGTGAGAGGGTTGAAAGCACCGGCTGTCATCAGTGTCGCCCGCGCTCTGGCACACGGACACCTCTCCCCGGCTTCATCAACGCGCATGACCACAGGCTGCTGAAGGACGTGGGCACCTCGCCTGCATCTCCCCAACGGGTCATGAGGTCCTTGTGTGTGGCTGCCTGTACACGCCCCAGGGTCGCTGCAGACCCCTCACAGAGGATGCCCACAAGTTGGATCCGGTCAACTTGATGGCAGGGCGCTGGGCTTGGGTGGCCTCATGGGCTTGGATCAGGAGTGGCTAGCCATTGCCAGGGGGTGGGAAGGTCAGGAAGGCATCTCCTTTAGGGGGCCAGGGGAAGCCAGCCCAGAGGTGGCACTTGGGGAGGACCGAGGAATAAGGTAGTTTGTGGGACAAGCTGGAAGGGGGTGGTGGTGAATGGGCAAGTGAGTGCTGGGCAGAAATGGAGAAGTCAAAGGTCCAAAAACGAGTTGCCAGGGGAGGATCTTGGTGGGAGGAGCATCATTCTAGAAGTCCTGTCCTGAAGCCACGTGGCCTTTTAGCTGACCCCTTCCTGGTGGAGGATGACCTCATGTGAGGTCCCTAGGGAGGGGTGCAAAACTGTGCTGCACAGGGCTTTCAAGGGCTGATTTTTCCGAAGTAGATCACCAGGTCTTTCTTCTGAGTGCCTCTGGGTGGACTTACCCTTCCACCCATTGGTAAGCAGCCGAGCGCTTGCCCGTGGTGATCCAGCGACTCCATCAGACAACCACACACCAGACCCACGGCCATCGAGTCCATGCCCACTCAGCTGACCCCACAGGGCAGGACAGAAAGCCCGTCACTCTCCCAGCCTCTGAGTAGGAATTAACCTGGCAGCTGGGCTGGGCACGTTGGATGTTTGGACACAATGGTAGGATATTGTCTGTAATGATTTGCAAATATGCGGTAATATAGGGTATAGCTAAATCTTTGCCTGTATCTGTGATTAGGGCTTTTGGATAAATTCTTAGAAGTCAAGTTGCAGATTGAAAACTTTTTTTGATGCTTTTAATATATATTTAAGGAGTCCTGGTGGTGTACTGGTTACACTTTGGGATGTTAGGATGACCATTTCGAAACCACTGGCCCCTCCGCAGGAGAAAGACAAGGCTTTCTACTCCCATAAAGAGGTACGGCCTCAGAAACCCATGGGGCGCCTCTCCCCTGCCCCACAGGGTTGCTTGAGCTGGGCCCGACCTGATGTGGCGAATCTGTTGTTAGGAGTCTGGTGCTGCGGCGGGCTGAGCACTGGTTGCTAACCTAAACGCCTGGGGTGTGAAATCACTCGTCGCTCTGCCCCATGGGAGGAAGACGAGACCCGCAGCCTCAGAATCCCTGGCCTGCAGGGTCTCCAGGTGTCGGGGTTCATGCCATGGCAGGTAGGCTGTGCGAGCTAGGCTTCTGGAAGCAAGTTTTTCTGGCACTTCTTCCCTTTCCTCTACTTGTCACAAGGAGTTTGGCTCCTGTTTTCCCAACGTTGGTTCATAGGATTTCATTTTCTAATCACAGTGCAAGTCCCGAACTTTCTAATTATAGTGATGGCGCGCATCCTGTTTGACGTTCGGAAATTAATTGGCTTTCAGGGTTCTGTCATGTAGGCAAAGATCTGCTGTTGATTACACTTGCAGAATTTCTCCCTACTCACACGTTAGGCTTCTTTTATAAAGGTCTGCCATTCAGCATTTTTCCCCCTTTAATTTGTTGGTGTTTGAATAATGCTGACTTCTTGCGCGTGACTCACCGTTGCAGCCTAAAGCCAACTTTGCTTGAGAAATTCAGAGGCGCTGTGGGCTCTTTTCCTAGTATGAGGTTTAGATGAGCTCTGTCTCCGTAAGCTCCTGGAGAAGGACATCAGGTGTGGTCAAGTGGAGGGGCCTTCTGGGGGTTGGCCTGCAGGGGTGAGCTCCGACGTAAGAACAGAGAGGAGGGAGCGGGCAGGGTTTCGCGCTGTTGCCCACAGGGTTGTCACATGTCAGAACTGACACCCCTCACCATGTGTAAGTTAGATTAGTGCACATTTTCTCTTCTACATGTTAATATCAGCCCTGGTCGTATAGTGGGTACACGTTGGGCTGCTAACCGCAAGGCCAGCAGTTCGAAACCACCAGAAAGACAAGGCTTTCTACTCCTGTAACGACGTATAGTCTTTGAAACCCACAAAGGCAGTTCTACCCTGTCTAATAGGGTCGCTGTGAGTCTGCATCGAGTCAATGCAGTGAGTTTTTTGAGTGGGTTCTATCCCCCCTATGTCCTGGAATAGTTAACATTTTATTAGAAAGGTTTGATAAAACTCAGCTATTAAAAAAAACAAGAATAAACCCCCCCCAAACCTCAGCTATTAATTTTCCTATACTTCATCCTGATTTCAAGTTTTGGGGTACATTTTATTTAAAAAAATTTTTAATACTCCCCCACCCCAGCCCTCATGGCCCCTTGATAGATTGTAGATGGTTAATTATTTCCAAATCTCACACCGACCTCTGTCTCCCTTCCCCTCTGGTTTCTGTTGTTCTTCCCCGACTGGAGGTGTGTGGTTATGTGCTACTCCCTCCCCCTACCCTTTTGGTATCTCTGTTCCCACTCCTGTTCCTGGGTTCCATGTGTTGTGAGTTTTAGCTCTTGCTTATACCTACGTACATGCTCCCGTCGCGTCTAGATTGGGAGGCGGCACTGAGGGTGTGATAGCAGGAGGTGAGGCGGCTCAAGGGATCAGAGGTATATGACGTGACCCATGTGCTCTACTGCACCCTGATTGACTCACCCCCTCCCTGGGACCCCTCTGTGGGGGGATGCTCCATTGTCTTTGGGGTACATTTTAAAAAGCGAATTCTCCGTTTCCTGTGAAAGATTACATGCCTCGGGGCCAACAAGGAGGGAGAGATAGCTAGAGGATTAGGGGAGAAAGGGGGAAATCAATCACAAGGATCAAACTAGAACTCCCTCCCAGGGGGATGAATAACGGAAAACTGGGTGAGGAGCGACCCAGGACGATGTAAGATATCAAGGGTTCGTGAGGGAGGGGGAAGAAATGGGGAGCTGATATCAGGGGCTCAAGTGGGAAGAGAATGCTTTGAAAATGATGATGGCGGCTTATGTGCAAATGTGCTTGACACACAGGATGAATATATGGATTGTGATGAGATGTAAAAGCCCCCGATAAAAGTATTTAAAAAAAAAGATTACATGCAAATTAGGCTCCCACTTGACAATGTAGGTTAATAGTGAATCAGTGACATTACTTACCACCCCCTGTGCGCAAGCACGTCAACATTCTCATTAATTGCATTCTGCTTGTTCCATTTCCCCTACTCTAGTTGTCTTGCGCTCCCCGCCCCAGTGTCCTCATCTGTGCTTTAAAGTAATTGTTGACCTTTTGGCTTCAAACAGTTGGTTTTTTGGTGGAGCTTTATAAAACGAGTCCTCAGTCCTCATGAGCACTATCTTCTATTCTGGGTAGCTTGTGTTGTTTTGCAAAAAAAGGTGACCTCAGGAGGTTTTCAGAGAGCCTCCCAGTCTCAACCGGCCCAACAAGGTCAGACCATTAAGAATCTGAGTTACGTTCCACAGTTTTCTGATGTGCGCGTCCTGGGTCCAGCTCTTGTGGTCCATGGCGACGGTGGCAGCTGGCTGCCGTCTCATTCTTGAGGTCTCGGGAGATGAGGCTGCGGTAGCCCTGTAGACTACTTCCTTCCTGGGACTCTGGGTTCCTTTTGCTCTTCGTGAGTAGAGGCGAACCGATCTCAGATCGCTGCCTACTAGCTGGATGATCCCAGTCGCTACTCGCCCTGCCAGGATGCAGAACTTCAGGGTGCCAATTGACTGAGTTGCACCAGGAGACAGATCCTAAGCCTTCACATCCAGAAAACTCTTTTCCCAAGGTATGTGGGCATGGCTGGGGAGGACCTGTCCTGGTGTCCTCTATGGCTGTACATGTCTGCACACAAGCTGTGTGCAGAGACCACATTCTGTGCTACTTTCCCATCCCCCCAGATAGCAACTATCCACAGTCCGCGAATCCCCCTCTCTGGTCACCACCAATGAACATTGGTCTCTCTCTGTCTATACATGGATGAAGGGGTGGCAAAAGTTTGTGGAAAATGGAATAAGACAATCATGAACTTTCTCCACGATCCTTTTGAAGCCCCTTCCTATCTCATTGTCTTATAAAAGTGGGGTCATACACTATCTGTTCTGTGATGGACATCTTTCACTGTGTAGCCGTGCCCTCCTGCTCCACCATGTTGCAGGATATGCTGCGGTGTCCCCCGGCCTGTCCCACCTTGTGCTTGTCCGTCACCCCTCGGAGGACCTTTGGGCCTACTAGGTACATTTTGATGAGCAGTCATCCATTGCCTGTGCTGTAAAGCTGGCTGCCCCACTGTGGCCACCCAGCAGTATTTGCAACAGCCAGCCTGCTCCTTAGAGGCAAGGAAGGTGAGACTTGTCTCGTGTACTTCGGATAAGTCCAAAGAGAACAGGCCCTGGAGAAGGGCATCATGCCTGCAAAAGCAGAGGGGCAGCGAAAAAGAGGCCCTGACAAGCTGGATTGACAACCATTGTGAGGATGGTGCAGGACCGGTCAGCGTCTCCTTCTGTTACGCACGAGTCGAACCATGAACAGGTCGAGGGCACCCAACTGCCACCCCCATGACCTCTTCTCAGGCTCACAAAGGGTTTGCTTCTCTATTTGCTCTGTAAAGAATGTGTTGGCATTGGCTTCAACCCCTCTCCTGTCTCAGCAGTCACTCTGCTCTCCTGCTAATTTCCTAGAGTGCCGCGTCTGCAGACTTTTAAGGCACAGACGTTGCTCGCACACAGCCACCTCTGGTCCACTGGTTGTGATGAGAGAGTCTCTCGCACGGCTTTGGAGTCATTTGAAATTTCTCTTGTGATTCAAGAGGAATGTTTTCTTATCAGGCCAGGTTGTAATTCTCAGATTATGTAGCCCCAAACATTGACTTTTTACAAGTTTGTTGAGAGTTTTCTTTGAGATTAGTGATATAGTTTGTTTCTCGTGGGTATACATATGAAAACTGTTCTATGCGAAGCATAAAGGGCTTTCTATAAATTTACTAAATCAACCTCTTTGTTCAGTCCTTTCTCATGTAACCTTTGTCAGTTTGGAATGTACAGTTCAGGTGCGTTCTAAATCAAGTTCCCCTTACTTTTATATGTATAGTTGCTACACTGTTGGCTATCTCCTGTGGTCATATAATTTCTGTCTGATGCTTTTAACCAGCTACTCCCTAATACTATCCCCTCTGCATAGCCTTTCCTGCACCTGCCAGCCACTGTTCCCACGTCATTAAGTCCACTCTTTGATGACTTTATGCAAGTTTCTTGTAAGCAAGTATAGTGAGTCTCTTTTTCTAAACCCAATCTTTCTTTGTTTTTAATAAGAGAATTCCGTTTGCCTCATTTGGAGTAATGAGATCATTACTTTTCAACTATTCATTTTAAACAATATCATCTTTTCCCACTGAGGTGAGGTTTTTGAGTATTTCCCGTCTCTGCTGCACTTCTATTGGCATGAGATGTCACATGTTCAGTTATACACAAGCATCGGAATTTCTTTTTCAGCGAGTCTATATTTCAGATGTCCATATTGGGCACTTATAACTTTCAGGACAGGCTCTCTCTTCATCCATTTCACACTGAAGTTTAGATCGCCCTCTCTAGGCTCAACACATACCACGGTCTCCTCTTAATCTTTTCTCCATCGTATCTTGCTCAAATGGTATGCTCTCTGAATTTGCACAACTCCTATCTTTTGTCTTGGTGGGAATAGGATACTTGGGCTTCATCTCAGTAGTCCGCAGATGTCACTTCACCTGTTTTAGCTACTAATGCAGGTGAGACGTCAAGAGCCAATCTGATGGAACAGGTTGCTTGTTCGTTCTGCTTCGAAGTTCCAGAATTTTTACCGAGAAAGGGGAAGACATCATTTCTCATCATCCAGCCTAGAGCTTGTTTAATTTTCTTCAACTGCAGGGAAATTTTATTCCAAATTGATGGCTTGACTCTATCCTAACATCAGTGGCTCTTAGCATTTCTCTCTCTCTCTTTTCGCCCTTTAACAAACATTGTTCTTAGTAGAAACCATGCAGTTTTCAATTCAAGCACAGGACTTTTAAATTGGGAAATACGTTTTATTCCCAATCTTTTCTTCTTCTTTATCATTTTATTGGGGCTCCTATAACTCATCACAAGCCATCCATCCATCGTGTCAAGCACATGGGTGTATTTGTTGCCATCATCATTTTCAAAATGTTTTCCCGATCTCTTCTTGCTGTCTTCCAGCTTCCCAAATTCCCTGTATGCCTTCTCACCTCCACTTTGGCCCCTTCACTTGTAGCAGCTCTGTTTCTGAGCGTCTGCTTGTTCTTAGGAATCTCCATTCAGGCTCTTAGGTCCTCTGATAACCCACTGCCATCGAGTTGATGCTGACTCATAGGGCCCCGATGGGACAGGGTAGCACTATCCCTGTGGGTTTCCAAGACTGGAAATCTTGACCGCAGTAGAAAGCCAAATCTTCCTCTTGTGGAGTGGCTGGTGGTTTCCATCTGCTGATCTGGCAATTAGCAGCCCAACTTGTAACCACGGTGCCACCGGGGTTCCTGGGTCCTCCGATAGGTTATTTTTGTCAGCTCCTTGGAGCTCAGGGCTGGTTGGCAATGCTATTTGAGCAACTATAATTTCAGTTGCCCAGTCACACAAGAGGTGGCAGGGGGTCCGTTCCCCCAGGAGCTTCTCTAGACCTTGGTCTTCCTGGCCTCTTCCTAGCCTTGAAAAGAGACTGGGGGTGGGGTTGGGCTTGGCTCCCCATGCAGGATTGAGAGGGAACCCAGTGTGGTTCCAGGACTCTCCACATCTGTCTGGGCATGCCTGCCTTCTCCGTGCTCCCCTCACCTTTTGAATGGCTTCCTCCTCTCATGCGGATGCAGGACTGGCCTTCCCCCAGGAAGAGGGAGGCATCCCCAGATCTCAGGGCCCCGTCAGTAGAGTGGTGACAGGCATGGCTCCAGACCCACACTGCCTGAGTTGGGCCATCGACTTATTATTGAACTTGTCTGTGCCTAGAGCATCATAAGCACTCGGATATAGATGTGCTTTCACTTATGGGTGTAATTGCTGCTATTTATTCTTCTCTGCTATTGGCCAGCAATGGGCCAATCTCCAAACGCCTGCCAAGCCCCAGGTGAAGAAAATCTTCACCGGTTTGGATCTCACTTTTTGCTTGGCACCAGGAGCTAAGGACTCAGGTGCGGAAAGCTACACATCAGTAGCCTATCTACCATCAATATCCCTGTGGAGCTTAAGATCCCCTGCTAAACTGCCTGGGGGAGGGCTGTTGGCCTGAGGCAGTTTCCCACTCGCTTCTCCAGCCTTCACGGACATCTTTTGGAAAATGTGATAAGCCTCCTTGGGAAGGAGGCTAGGAGGCTGCTTTCTCAGACTGTGGGTATCCTGTGCTCAACGTACCTGGAGGCTTGGTTGAGATTTGTGCACGTCCCCCCAGCTCAAGACCCACACTTGGTCATGTGACTTGTCATAGGACAGCTTAGCCGGCAGAGGGTCCACACCTATGGACTTGAAAAAGAGAGTGACAAATTGGTCATCATTGTGGTAGCCAACCTGTCCTAACACATCGGTATAGAGAGTACTCCCCGCAGCAACAACGCAGCACATGCCTTTTCCAGTGCCAGGAGTCCCATCCAGCCAGATGATGGGGTCAGTTCAGGGCTGTGTGTGTGCACATATTTTTGTGGAAAGCCAGCCCTGGGGCCTGGGCAATGATCCCACTTGGGGACCAAAGGCTGTAGCTTCCCTTTTGTGTCCATTCTAGAGCCATAACGTTGGCCTTCAATGTTGCTCTCCCTTTTAAAACAACCTTTCTTGCAGGTTTTACTTAAGCTGAAACAACCCACTTGGCTTCTCCTGAAAGCTTTTTGGGCCCTTTGTCCTTTCCCTGGATTCTGTTGAATTTGGCTTTCCACTTTGGGTTATGTGACGCTGATTCTGAGCTCATCCATGATCACCCTTCTCCTCTGAGCAGCCTCTATCTAGCACATCCTTCACCAGGGGCTGTGGGGACTCAGGCTGTAGCATCAGGCAGACTCTTTTATTGCTGAAACTGCTGTCCTCTGAGTGTGTAGCTGTGTATTCCTTTTTACCTTTTATTACAGTTTAGTAATTTCAAAAATTCTGTGAAATAGAAGTACTTATAGTAGTAGTTGAGTCTTCATTATACCACTTTCAACCATGGATAGGACATCGAGAAAGATCAATAAGGAAGAAGAGCTGAACCATATTATAAGCCAACCTGACCTAACACACATCTGTATGTAGAATACGCCTCCCGACACCACCGCCACAGCACACATGGGTCATCATCGAGGGCACATTATATGTTAGGACACAAGGTTCATTCAGAAAGATTAAAATCATACTAAATATATTCTCCAAGCACAGAGTGAAATTTGAAATTAATAACCAAAGAAGAGTTGGAAACCACACAAATATGTAAACATTTAACACACTAGAGAACAACCAATGGTCAACAAGACATCAAGAGAGAAATCAGAAAATATGCATCTCTCTGCAAACACAAACAGAACACAGGCAATTCAGGCCCATAGACTCTGAGCCATGTCCCGGCCACTCCCTTTGTTCACTGAAGACATTGGTACGTGGATCACATGACACACGTCTTCTCTGCCAGCCATCTACTCAACCTTGCCTTCATTCCTACCATAACTTAGATCTTGTCAGCATAATTTCAGAAATTTCTATGGTGACCCAACATATTCTAGTCTTTCGGATCTTGGAAAAACACTAAAACCCAAAAAACTATACCCTCTTTGTCCCATTTCTCTTCCCACCATTGGGCAAAACTTCTCTAAAG